CAACTTAAATAGGAGGGGTATTTAAAATGAGATTTGTCATAGGGATCACTTCTCTGAAGTTGTCAGTCGGAAAATATGTCCCCTTTTCTGCTTTTCAGAATATGGTAACCACAGTCAAGTGGTTCCAAGCCATGCATTTTCCAGTGTTAGAGGCAGCTATTTCCAAACGGGTGTCCCTTGCTAACTCAAAAACGTTGTCTCCTCTTGGTCTTCTGAAGCACCTCCTACTCCGATGTGGTGGGGAAAAGCAGGATTAGTTCTTTGTTCTGGGGAAGAAGCAAGAGTGTACTTGGAAACACTGGTGATCATCATGGGGGAGTTATTGCCCTTCAGGCTTTCAAAACTAAGCGTTTCTGAGAGGACGAGCCAAGCGTGCCTCCCATTTTAATTCAGAAAAATTGGGCTGTTCATTAGAACTCTGGGAAACCTGATTTGCATGAATCTGTCAGTGTGCCTGTCAAATCATGACAGTTGCTGAGGTAGGTTAAGTTGTTACATTCAAGATTTTTGCACGTGGGTGGCCTAGCAGCCATTCTGGGCTCCACTGTCTGTACCATGTTATGTATGAGACTATTTAACATCAAAGTGCTGTGCCCCCAACTCCCCCTACCCATTTCTGGATCTTCAGATATGCTGATATGTTCAGGTAGTGTTGAAAACAAGTCTGGAAAGAAGTGGATTCCACCTAGGGCTGCCAGGTTTCCCCCTGGCTACCGGCAGGGGATGAGGGGAGCGTTGCTAGTTCCTGGTTGGGAAGCTCATGGAGATTTGGGAATGGAGCCCGGGAAAGAGAGAGACCTCAATAGGGTATAATGCCATAGAGTCCACCCTCCAAAGCATCCATTTTCTCCAGGGGGACTGATCTCTTAACCTGGAGATGACCTGTAATTCCGGGGGATCCCCAGGTCCCACCTGGAGGCTGGCATCCCTAAAATTTCCACCCCCCTCACTGAAATTCAAAAGGGGTTTCTTCCCAGAAGCAGCCATTTTGAAAGCAGAGCTTAGCCCCTCCCACTCCCTATAGCAGCTACACGTGGAGTGGAGTTTCCCATTTGAGATAGAAACAATGAGATTTTTATTATCTCTGGTTCAAGGTTGGGGAGGGGGGGATGTGCCATGCCCCCACTTTCTTCAGGGGGCTTCCCACTGCCTGTGGGGGGGGGATCCTTGTGTGGAATCAGCCACTGTTAGGGTTGCCAACCTCCAGGTGGCGGGTGGAGATCTCCTGGGATTACAACTGATCCCCGGGTGACAGAGATCAGTCCACGTGGAGAAAACGGCCACTTTGGAAATTGGACTCTGTGGCACTATACTCTGTTGAAGCCCCTCCCCTCCCCAAACCCTGCCCTCCCCAGGCTCCACCCCCAAATCTCGAGGTATTTCCCGACCTGGAGCTGGCAACCTTAGCCACTGTGAGTGTCCACAGTTTCCCATGATAGTGGGGAGGGAGATCAGTCATGACAGGCGACCAGGGGTCAGTTGGGGGGGGGACGCGGGAGGACGCCATCCCCCCGGGTGAGGTGCGGGAGGGCGGGGCCTGGAGCTCCCTGCTGGTGCCCGCTGGAGGTTGCCGCCAGCTGTGGGGTGTACACACTTCCGGTGATGTCAGGGGGTGTGGCATATGCTAATGAGTTATGCTAATGAGTCCCCCTAGCTCTTTTTCTACGAAATGACCCCTGCAGGCGACTGTTTTTGGCAGCAATGGCCTGTTGGCCTCGCCCCTCCGACTCACATCGATCTACATTAGAGCACTTTGAAGCGCATCCCTTCCATGTCCATTCCTTTCTCAAGACAGCCCTGAGAAAAGCCCGGAAGCCTGCAGAAGTGACATGGATGTGCATTGCTCATTTAAGAAATGCGTCTTTGGGTTTAACGGCACATCATGGGCAAAGAGACACAGCTGAGCCCCGGTGCCTTTTTTTTTTTTTTGCTTCCTTAGCAGTTGCAGGGGGCAATCGGGAGGTTGCCTTCACGCCTCCAACCTCTCCCCCCCCCCTTGTACTTAGCTGACGGGAAAGAGACAGGAAGGCCAGCCTGGCTTGATGGATAAGAGGTTAGATAGTTGGGCATTCGGATCTATGCTCTGCCATGCACTCTCTGAGTAGCCTTGGGCCAGACAGATGGTTCCTCGTGTCTAAAAGAGGAGTTGTAACGATCTGCCTGGCGGAGAGATTGCATGAGATAAGTACTGCGTGAGATGATTTAGTATTGATTGGTTTAAAAATCCATTCATTTTTCTTGTTGAAAATTTCTGCTTCCTTAAACGTCTGTGCTCTTTCTCCCTTGCTGCCCCTTCTGCCTGGAGCTCCCTCCCTCCCTTCCTCCCAGAAAACCAGTCTTTTGTCACTTCTTTCTAACCCCTCCTCAGTGCTCACTTTTTCTGTAAAGCACTTGGCCTAACCCAGTGATGGCGAACCTTTTAGAGACTGAGTGCCCAAACTGCGACCCAAAACCCACTTATTTATCGCAAAGTGCCAACACGGCCATTTAACTTGAATACTGAGGTTTTACTTTAGAAAAAACAACTCATACATTAACTTAAGATGATGCAAACAAAGTAAGGAAAGCAATCCCAAATGCTTTCATTTACTTACTCTGAGTGCCACCTCTGGCACCCGTGCCATAGGTTCACCACCACTGGCCTAACCCCTTAATCCTCCCCCACTGAAACTAAGCCTGAACTGACTACTTAGGGAAGAAGCATGCATGCACACAAAAGCTTATACCCAGAATTAAACTTTGCTGGTCTTCCAGGTGCCACTGGACTCAAACGTTGTTCTGTTGCTTCGGACCAACCCGGCTACCCCACCGGAATCTACCTTCCCTTCTGTCTTTCTCCTCTTCTCTCTCCACTCATTCTTCTAGCTCGCATTTGAGATTGGAAGGTCTTTGGGCTCAGAGAGCTCGCCTCGGTGTTGCTTTATGAAAGCATCGATTGCCCTCCCACTAGGGTTGCCAGCTTCCAGGTGGAGCCTGGAGATCTCCTGGCATTTCCCCTGGAGAAAATCCCTGTTTTGGAAGGTGGACTCACTGGCATTAGACCCCACTGAGGTCCTGCCCCTACCCAGACCCCTCTCTCCCCAGGCTCCACCCCCCCAAAAAAATCTCCAGTTGTATCCCAACCCAGAGTTGGCAACTCTGCCTCCTACCTGAGGCTTTTCTGACATTTAGCTACAAGGTAAAAACATTTCTGTTTGACCAGAAATTACTTTGGTGATTTTTCTGAATTACGGCCTTTAACCTGCCCAACGCTGCCCTTAGAATCATTTTGTGCTGCCTTGACATTGCTTTTATCAGATGGCAATTGTCGAACTGCTTAGGATAGTCTTATACTGGTGGGGTAGCTCAATTGTTTACTCTTTCCATTATTCCCCCCCCCCCGAATTCTTAATTGCGCTTTGCTCTTTTATTGTTCACCGCCGTGAGCTCATCTCTAGAATGGTGGCATTCCAATCCTCTCTTTCGCACATTTTTATCCTACTCTTCCTCCAGGGAGCCTAGGACCGCGTACACAGTTCTCTCCCTTCCTCCAGTTTATCTTCACAACAGCCCTGCAAGTAGGGTTCCCAGCTCCAGGTCTGGAAATTCATGGAGATTTGGGGGATGGAGCGTGGGGAGGGGCCTCCGCAGGGTACAATGCCATAGAGGACACCCTCCCAAGCACCCATTTTCCCCCGGTGGAACGGAGTTCTGTTGTCTGGAGATTGGCAACCCTCCTGTGAGATAGGCTAGGCTGAGAGGGGGGGTCACCCACTGAGCTTCGTAGTGAGTGGGGATTTGAACCTGGATCTCTCAAGTCCTTGTTCAACACTATCCCATACTGGCTCTTAGCAATGGTTGACGTACAATCCATGATGTTTATAAAAAAAATCACTTCAACTGGGCCCTGATTCCATGTGTCACTGTGGAGGATACCTAACAGGACTGTGAGCATATTTATTTCTGTATTTATTTATTTATATGGTGTCACCAATGCTCATGGCAGCCTCCAGACTACAAGGCGGGTGTGGGGGGGTCCCTATCCCAAGGAACTTACTGCCAAAAATTTGACACAGAGAGAAGAAACAAAGAGAAATAATTCAAAATAAAACTGAAATTAAAAAAGGATTAAGAGAAATTTGGAACAAGAGAGAACCCATGTGGTATAGTGGTTACTGCAGGGCTCTTTTTGTAGAAAAAGCCCAGCAGGAACTCATTAGCATAATAGGCCACACCCAACAGCAGGAACTCATTAGCATATTGGGCCACACCCCTGACAGCACAGCTCATTAGCACATTAGGCCGCACCCCCATATTACCAGAAGTGTAGTTATCCAGCCACACCCACCTTTTGCTTGTTATTCTGTTTCCCTTGTTTGTTGTCCAAACCCAGGGCTTTTTTGTAGCAGGAACTCCTTTGCATGTTAGGCCACACACCCGTAGCCAATCCTAATGCGTTTCTGCTGTTGGGTGTGGTCTATTATGCTAATGAGTTCCTGCTGGGCGTGGCCAACTCGGGAGCCAGCCGGAACTTCGTTCCTGTGCGTTCCTGCCCAAAAATAGCCCTGGTGGTTAGACTGTCAAACTGTGACCTGGAAGATCCAGCTTCGAATCCCACCTCTGCCACGGAAGATTGTTGGACAACCTTGGGCCAGTCACACACCAGTGGCCTAACCTACCTCATAGGGTTGTTGTGAGGATAGAATGGAGAAGAGGAGAAGGATATAAGCCACTTTAGGACGGTCCCCATTGGGACAAAAAAACGGGGTATAAATGATGTGATTAAATAAAGAGATGGGGGGGGTGGCAATAAACAAGATAAGAATGTGCATTTGTTCCACTTACCCAGGCTTCGTCTTAGTCGGGAAGGGTGGCTGAGAACTTGCACCAAAACCATCCTTAAACAGGATGGGTCTGAAGGAAGTGAAAGAGCGCTGCTGCCTGCTTGCCGGCCAGCGGCACCAAGCACATGCCTTTAGAAGGCGAGTAACCCCTTTCATTCTGCTTATTTCCTGGCCCAGGACCCCGTGGGAGCCACCAAGGAGGAGTGCCTCACTGGGCGCTTTACCGCCAGTGGGGAATGCTGCAGAACCTGTAATCTCGGGGAAGGCGTCATCCAGCCCTGTGGGGTGAACCAAACCATCTGTGAGCCATGCCTGGACAGTAAGTAACCCACCGGCTTCATTTCTTCTCCCCGCCCCTTTTGTAGAATGTGCAGAACCTCGTTGCTTGGCAAAAGCAAGCGGAGTTGTCAGCAAAAGACACGTTTGCAATGGGAACGGGTGTTTCCTTGTTTTTGTTTTACTCGAATGTACGGCCTGCTTCCTCCCTAGCTAACAGAACCGACAAGCTCAAGTAATGCACAGAGCACTGCTGGACTTGGACCGGGCAGGCCTGGATTCCAGTCTTCGCTTGGCCCTCTTCCTTTCACCCCCTTTGGGAAACGATCTTGAGGGCTGCTGTCTGGGAGGACTGCGGGTAGCCAGGATGGAAGTGAACTGGGCACAGGCTTGCCAACCTCCAGTAACACCTAGAAACCTCCTGCTATTGCAAATGATCTCCAGATGACCAAGATGTTCCCTTGGAGAAAATAGCTACTTTGGAGGGTGGACGCTGCAGTATCCTGCTGAGGTCCCTCCACCCCCCAAACCCCACCTTTCCCCCAGGCCATGACCCCAACTTCTCTAGGTATTTTTCAACTCAGAGCTGGGCACCCTAGGCTTGTGCAGCCCCTGGGGTCCTGGCAGCACTCACACCTGGCCCACAACCATCAGGCCAACAGCTGTAGGCTTGGGTAAGCCTACACTTGTTGGCACTGTCGCCATGGCTTGGATCTGACTGCCACAAATACCACATGAGCCACTCAGCTCGGTTTGCTCTAGGTTTCCCTTGCTCAAAAGCTAGTCGAATCCGACTCTAGGGTTGCGGTGCTCATCTCCCGTTTCCAAGCCGAAGAGCCAGCGCCGTCCAAAGACATTTCCGTGGTCATGTGGCCGGCATGACTAAACACGGAGGCGCATGGAACGCTGTTACCTTCCCACCTATGCGGTACCTATTTTTCTACTTGCAATTTCTTGCTTTCAAACTGCTAGGTTGGCAGGAGCTGGGACCAGAGACGGGAGCTCACTCCGTCATGCGGTACTCGGGTCTCGAACTGCCAACCTACAGACCTTCCAGCCTGCAGCTCAGCGTCTTAACCTCTGAGCCACGCCAGGGGTTTTTTCCTGCAGGAGCGCACAGGAGCAGAGCTCCGGCAGTAAAGAGCCCAGGGGGCGGGCACATGCAACAAGCCACACCCCCTGCTCCCAGCAGCCCTCAGTCAGAGCAAGAAGCAGCCTAAGCTGCAGAGCCCCCCCCCCAGCCCCCCAGTCCAAAACAGTCCAGTGGCACCTTTAAGGCCAAGTTTTATTCAGGCACAAGCTCTCCCTCCTCTGCGAGGACAGATCTGCACGTTCCCCCCCTCCCCTCCAATAGCTAGCAATCCAAAACAGTCCAGTGGAGCCTGAGCGGTGGGTGTTGCCTTCTGACACACTTCCGGTGATGTCATGGGGTGTGGCATATGCAAATAAGTTGTGCTAATGAGTTATGCTAATGAGCTCCTGCACATCTTTTTTTACGAAATGACCCCTGGAGCCACCAAGGCCCGTCAGTTTGCTCTAGGGCTGTTTTAATGCCGTATCTACTCTTGAGCAGCTCTGACCCTGTTTTAGGAGAGCAAGATGGGGGGAAGGGAGATCCTAGCCTAAGTCTGTCCCACAGAAGCAGTTTGAAGAGATTCTTTCCAGAGGATGCTGAGGTTTAAGCTTTGGAGACCCTCCGTAGTCTTTCTGCGTCCCTTCAACATGGCCCTTCTCCCCCCATCTGGAGCAGCACTTTGCAATCGGGGTTCACAGTGTGGAGGGAAACACAACCCCTGACTGCCCCTTCTAATGCGGCTACGCCCTTCTATCACCTCAGTCGCTGAGACCCGTCCACCTTCAACACTACCAGTTCTTGACAACACAAAACTATCCTTATAATTCCCAGACTGGCAAATGTGAAGTTGGTAGCCAGGTGGGTGAGGCAATCAATTGGACCATAGTGATAAATGGGGTCTTGGGGCACCTTCAAAACAAGGACGTTTTTATTCTAGCATCAAACTTTCACAGAGCACAAAGGTTTATGTATGTATGTGCTGTCCAGTCTCAAATGATTTATGGAGAACCCAGCAAGGGGCTTTCAAGGCAAGTGAGGTGGTTTGCCATTGCCTGCCTCTGCAGAGCCTTCCTTGGTGGTCTCCCATCCAAGCACCATCTGAGATCCGACAAATTCGGGCTATACCACACCACCTTGTGTGTGCCATCAGTGCACAGTGCCATCAATTCACAGCTGACTCATGGTGACCCTAACAAGGGCTTTCAAGACAAGTGAGAAGCAGAGGCAGTTTGCCATTGCCTTCCTCTGCAGAGTCTTCCTTGGTGGTCTCCCTTCGAAATGCCAACCCTGCTTAGCTTCCGAGGTCTGCCAAGATTGGGCTGCACTATGCCCCCTTCCCTCCCCACAAAAGCTATGCTAGCCCTCCAGGCGCCGCAAGACCCTGATTTCTTTTTGCTGCAAGAGAGGAACACAGCTACGTCTCTGGAAGGATTGCATGGAGCTGCTTTGTTTATTGGGTGTGCCGGATGATTTTTAAAATGTTAAATATGAACAGCGTTTGCTACCAGACAGCTGACCTCGTACTGTGATAGCAGGGGTGCCTGGCCAAGGCAGCCAGTCCCATTCCAGACCCCTCAAAAGCACGGTGACCTGGCAACAAGAGCAGGAAAGACCTGCGTGATTCATTCTGCTCGACACAGCATTGGTTAAAAATAACTAAAAATAACCTTCCTATGCAAAATCAATGGCTGCTACTTAACCTCGCGGAGAATGGCAGCGGAGAAGCTGGGTATCGAATACCAGGCAGATAATCTGACCTTGGAAGAGTTGCTGTATTGGCATTTGGCAGGGCAGGAAGAACGCAGGAAGCTCCTGCCGCTGTGCTCTAGGATTTGGATACGGTGGGGGAGAAGGTTGGCTTTAGGGCTCCGACAAAGTTTCTCCGTGCCCCAACCCCGAACCTTGCAGGATCCTTGATCAGGGATGAATCACTCAGTTGCATCTTGCACCCCACCGGCACTGCAGTTTTGATTTATTCTGGACAACCAGCACGCTAGCAGAAAATGCTTACAAGCCCAACATGGCAGCAGCCGCTGGCGGGGGGGGCAGGGGGGCGGTTTCAGCTGAAAGCCGACACCGGAGAGGGGGAAATCAATAGAGAGAAGCAAGCACAGCTGCTTACTGAGACCAACTTCCAGATGAATCAGTTCCTAAAACACCAGTGTGTGGACCTGCTCTCTCCACTCACATCCGAAACATCACCATGAGCATCTGAATTTGCCTCCATTGCTGGGCACAGTCCACACCTCCTCCTGTATATCCTTTCCCCACATCTGGATTTCTTAGTGCTGAAGTGAGTGCCTAATTAAACAGGGACTAACTTCTCTCCGCTTTCCTTTGCCCTTGTTTGGGTAACGTGCTGTCTTGCCAACCTCCAAGTGGCACCTGGAGATCTCCTATTATAGTTAATCTCCAGACGACCAAGGTCAATTCCCCTGGAGAAAATGGCTGCTTTGGAAGAAGAAGAGATTGGATTGATACCCCACCCATCACTCCCCAAAGGAGTCTCAGAGCGTCTTACAATCTCCTTTCCCTTCCCCTTCCCACAACAGACAGCCTGTGAGGTAGGTGGGGCTGAGAGAGCTCTTTCGAGAACTGCTCCTGAGAGAACAGCTCTGAAAGAACCTGTAACCGACCGAAGATCACACCAGCAGTTGTATGTGGAGAAGTGGGGAATCAAACCCGGCTCTCCCAGATGAGAGTCTGCATTCCTAACCACTACACCAAACTCCACTGGAAGGTGGAGTCTATTGCATTAAACTGTCCCAAGGTCCCTCCCCTCCTCAAACCCCACCCTCCCCAGGCCCACCTCCAAAATCTCCAGGTACTTCCCAGCCCAGAGCTGGCAACCCTATACCAGTGTCCCAAATATGAGCCATTGTCTGCCCGTACTATCCAAGCACATATATTTTTAAGAAAGCCAATTGCATTCACGTCTATCTGTAACATTATACAGTGGGTTTTAAGTCAACAAAACACAGAGCATGCATTGCTGTGGGTACTCTTACAGCGGCCCTGTATGGCAGAGGGCCAACACAAAGGGGAAAGTAGTTTTCTGAAGGCTATCTAGTGAGTTCTCAACTTAGAGGAGATTTGAAAGGGGTCCGCTGGGCTCACAAATCACACACCATGAGTAGGTTTCTGAGCCTTGCCCAACCCTTGTTATTTTACAATCCCTCAGGGCTCAAAACAGAGGAGATGAAGATCTTACATCTGGTAGGTCCATAACACACAAATTGCAGGCTTGGGCAGCCTTAATTTGCCTCAGGGCTGAACAGGGAAATGTGAGGGGGCTTAACCCTTCAGTCTCCGCTTGGTCTAGCTGTTTGAAATAGGCTGCCCTGCTCTGCTATTAGTATACTAAATGAACCAAACCAAAAAACGTTTTATCGTTTTTTCCTTAAAGTGCTAATTGCTGAGCTGCGAAGCTGGTTTCAGACAGTAAAGCCAAGTGGAGATGGAAGGGTTAAATCCCCCCCATCCCCTGGATGACCCTGAGACAAACTGAGGCTGTGGTTTACATGTTATATACAGATGGGATCTTTATCTGGTCTTTTGAGCCCTGTGTGGGAGAAGAAAAAAAAAAAGGTGGTTTTTATACCCCACTTTTTTTTACCCTCAGGGGTCTCAGAGTACAATCACCTTTCCTTCCTCTCCCCAGAACAAGTTGGGTAGCCGTGTTAGTCTGTCTGTTGTTGTTGTTCAGTCGCACAGTCGAGTCCAACTCTTCGCGACCCCATGGACCAGATCCCGCCAGGACTTCCTGTCTTCCGCCGTCCTCTGAAGTTTGCTCAATTTCATGTTCGTTGCATCAATGACACTGTCTAACCATCTCATCCTTTGCCGTCCCCGTCTTCTTTGACCTTCAATCTTTCCCAGCATCAGGGTCTTCTCCAGTGAGTGCTCCCTTCTCATTTGGTGGCCAAAGTATTTGAGCTTCAGTTTCATTATCTGGCCTTCCAGGGAAC